TTTTTTAGATAAAAAATAAAAAAACCTCTAAATATAAATTTTTTTCTTCCATAAGAGAGCATCTTCGGAAAATCACCCAGATGCTTATGTTAATATTTATGTATGACAAGATTTCGTTGTATGTATATAAAATTCATCTTAGTGGAATATAACGCTTTTACTTGTTTTTATATTAAGTATTAAAACCCCGATTTAATGAATATTAATTTTCAAAATCCTGCTTTTTCAAAATAATTTCAAATCCCTCTTTTTAATTACTATAAAGTTTATTAAAGTACTATTATATATATTAAAAGTACTATTATAAAGTACTGACATAAGTAAGTTTCTTACGAGCCAAAGCCTCTCTAAATTATCCTTCAGAAAATTACTTTAACGCTCATTACTTAAAAATACGACTTAAAAATACGAGAATAGCTTAAAAATACGAGAATAGCTATGAAATTCGACTGAATTAAGTTCCTTGCGAGCCAAAATCTCTTAACCAAATTTTATCTGGATCGGTCTGTAATTGGCCCTACACCCCTATACGGTCCCCTTCAGAAAATTTCCCTAATGCTTAAAAGTACGAGTATTGAGATGAAATTCGACATAAGCAGACCTGGGCGATTTCCATTAATTTTGCATTAACATTAAATTAAAAAAAAATTAATTTATTGTAAAAAATATTACATTAACATTAAATTTATAAAATTTAATGCATTAAATTTCCATTAACATTAAATATTTTTGAATTTAATGCATTAATTTTACATTAACATTAAATATTTTTGAAATTAATGCATTAATTTTGCATTAACATTAAATATATCTGAATTTAGTGCATTAATTTTACATTAACATTAAATAAGCAATAAAATTAATGCATTAATATTCCATTAACATTAATATATAAAAAAATTGATAAACGTAAATAAAAATACAGCACAAAAGACGTCGATCTAACTAAATACAACTAAAATTAAATAGGTTAAAGTCCTTTCTAATAACTCCTATATTCCATTCAAACTTGTGTGTTTTAAATATGATATTTATATAAGATTCCACAGACAAAATAAACTGAAAAAGGAATATCTGGGAAGTGATACTATTCTTCTAATATGTATTATCGAGTATAGGACTTATTAGAAAACTTTATCAAAATAAACTACAAAAGGAATATCTGGGAAGTCATACTATTTTTCTAATATGTATTATCGAGTATAGGACTTATTAGAAAGGACTTTAACACATTCAATTTTACTTGAATTTAGTTAGACCGAGGTCTTTAGCGCTGTATTCTTATTTTTATAAATTAATGTTAATGGAAAATTAATGCATTAATTTTATTATTTATTATTTAATGTTAATGGAAAATTAATGCATTAAATTCAAAAATATTTAATGTTAATGCAAAATTAATGCATTAATTTCACAAATATTTAATGTTAATGTAAAATTAATGCATTAAATTTAAAAATATTTAATGTTAATGCAAATTTAATGCATTAAATGTACTCATGTTAATGTTAATGCAATAAACTTGCATTAACATTAATTTTTTTTAATGTAGAAAAAATTGTTAATGCATTAACATATTTAATGCATTTATCCCAGGTCTGGACATAAGTAAGTTTCTTATGAGCCAAAACTTCTCTACTGACTTTTATGAGTATCGGCATATGATTGACCCGCATATACATAAGTTCCCCTTCAGAAAATTACTTTAACGCCCATTACTGGCTTAAAACTACGAGTATAGCGATGAAATTCGATTGAAGTAAGTTCATTGCGAGAAAAAATCTCTTAACCACTCTTATACGGTCCTCTCTTAACCCGCCTATACGGTCCCCTTTAACGCTAATTACTGACATAATAATGCAAGTAAACCGTTGATATTCGATGTAAACATGTTTATATGAACCAAATCGGTCTAAAAATGTTTATGGAAATTCACCCTACCTCTCATAAAAGGTTAATTTGTTAAGTAATATTAACCTGGTGTTTATGGGGAGCATTCCTTTTAAGGCATACGGTTGGATGGTGGGTATATAAGATTCGGCTCAGCTGAATATAACCCTCTCACTTGTTTTTGTTCATTTGAATAGGTTCATCATCATTAAATGACAAAAACAACAACAAAATGCATTTTTCATGAAACTTTTTTATTTTTATAAGCATTTTTACACGGTTTTGGAAAAGATTTAGTAATGAGTATATTCGCCGTTATTCGATAAAACTTAAAAAATTCGAAGTGATAACATTCTTAATAAATGGCAAGGAAATTTCGGTCTAAGCCTTTTTAATTCCTTCTAAGGGTTCAAAGATATCTGAAAATGTGAAAAAATCTTTTTTCAGTGTGGCATTACAATTATCCGAAAAAACAAGATTTTGCTATTGCTAACTGAAGAGGTTTTTTATTTACGAATGGTAATTGGAGTGGCTTTTATTATTTTTAAAACCTCGGCACTTCTTACAATACGTTTCACTTCAGCTAAGCTTGCTGTAACACCCACATTTTCTTAAATTTTTGCTGCAGAATCACTTGACTAGGAGGCAGATTTTATGAAATCTATTTTGCCCGCTTTAGTTATGACTCCATATGTACGTCCATTTATGTTTTCTTAATATTCAGACTGCTTTTTTATAAAATTGCGAATAACATTCTGAATTTGGCCAATTCCTGTGATTTTTGACAGTTTCCAAAAACTCTTAAATTTCGTCATCTGTTTCTTCAGTTAATGGCTTAACGCAACCTATTTGTTTTTAATATATTGTCTATATTCAAGCGAATAACAAATTTTATTTTTTGCGAATGCAAACGGTATACTTCATGTTAATTTGAAAAGAAAATTGATAATTATAATAATTTAAGATTTGGAAAACTCTTGGAAAATCATTCGAATCATTCATACGATGGTTATGTAGTAATTGTGAACAAATTCAGTTTAAAGTACCCATGCATTATATTATGAAGTATCGTCAATATCGGTTCCCTACCCAAGAAAAACTTACATTGAAAAGTAATGAGTTACAAAGCGATTGGGGTTCCTATGTTCATGTCGAATTTCATCGTTATATATTTTGGACAGTTTTGAGCGTTAAAGCCATTTCCTGAAGGGGACCTTATATGGGGGATAGGGTCAATTATGAACCGATCCTTATAAAATTTTACAATGATATTAAGGTTCCTATTCACGTAGAATTTCATCGCTATAGATGCTTCTTTTGGACAGTTATGAGCGTTGAAGTCATTTTCTGAAGGGGACCTTATATGGGGGTAGGATCAATTATGGACCGATCCTTATAAAAGTTTATAAAGCGATTTAGGTTTCTATAAAATTGTGTAGGTTCAGTTATGGACCGATCCTTATAAAATTCTACAAAGAGATTTATGTTCCCATAAAACAGGTTTGTGCCGAATTTCACCGTTATTGATGCTTTTTTTAGCCAGTTATGGGCGATAAATTTATTTTCTGAAGGGGACTTTATATGGGGGTAGGGTCAAATATGGGCCTATCCTTAAAAAATTTTACAAAGAGATTTAGGTTCCCATAAAACATGCTTATGTCGAATTTCACCGCTATTGATGCTTCTCTTAGCAAGTTATGAGTGATAAAGTCATTTTCTGAAGGGGGCCTTATATGGGGGCTAGGCGAAATCGTGGACCGATATTGCACATTTTCAATACAAAACAAACTGCATCAACTAAAAGTATCTATGCAAAATTTCAGCTCGCTAGCTACTTCCATTTGGATCGTGTTTTCAACAGACAGACGGACACAAAGACGGACAGACGGATGGACATGGCTAGATCGTCTTAGAATCTAATAAGGACCCAGAATATATATACTTTTATGGGTCTTAGACGAATATTTCAATGTGTTACAAACGGAATGACAAAAACAATATACCCCCAATCTTTTTTGATGGTGGGTATAAAAAGAACCAGCGATAATACGAACCAGGGACTCCGGTTCGTTAGTCAAATGTTCAACTCACTGCACCGCTGCTGATCTATTTTTTGTAAAACGTAATTCTTAACACACAATTCAATAGAATGTGCAAAAAGTCATTACTAGAGTAATACTATGTAATGCAGACGGTCATTGAAAAGCAAGTGGTTATGTAAGTACAACCCATTACCGAGTTTTTGCTGGGGATAGCAAAAACTAGCAAAAGTTTTTTTTTTTACATAAAATGGAAGAATACTTTCTAAGCATTCATTAATATCTCAAAAGTAGACCAAGCTAACATTTTTTATTCCAATGAACACTGCAAATGCTAAAATGATTTAGTCAGATCTCTTAAACTACACATGTAATTTACATAAATATTTAAATATTCTTATTAAATCGAAAATATTGCATTTTAATAAAAGTTATTGGTAGTTAAATCATATTCATTGTACATGCTACTAAATGCATGAACAACATTTTTATCAGTTTTCGATGTAGAATATTTAAGTAATTTTACCACACTTTTTTTATAAAAAATAATATTCTTTCCGAAAACAAATCATGTGTTTTCCTTAAGGTATTTTCAGACTGAGTATTTTCTCTTCTTATTTTTAATGTATTTAACACTTTTTATTTGTTTTTTATTTATAAAATACATAATAAGAAGTTTTTGAATTGTTTTAAAAAATTTATGAATACTTACCATATGACAAAAAAATCAGTAATATTTTTGAAAATTAAACTACAGATTATGTTTATTAGACTAGAAAATTGTATTATGATACAAACATTTTGACAAGTGTTAATACTCAGTATTTTAGTCTGAAAATACCTTTAATGAAACATTTCTCTACAGATTTGCATCATTAGATTTCTGAAAATTACTTGTCGAAATATAGACTTATTTCTAAAAAAATACCACTGTGCGCCCTTTTGCATTATTATTGTCATTGCATTCTGTGGATAATTGTAAAACTTATTAATTTATGATATTTGTTTTGAAATTTGTTTGTTTCCAAAAAGTAATTAAAATGCTTATTTAAACAATTGGTTTCATTGCAGTCGACAAAACTCAAAACTGTGGCTTATATGAAGATGATTATGGCAATGATTCGATAAAAACCAACTGTAGACATTGATGGTGCATACGAGTGTAACTTTAATGTTTCATCAATGTTTATGGTACCATTTTAAGCCAAAGTAACTAAGAGAAGGATATAAATAGCAAATGGATTCAAACAAATTCTATTGTCGTAATACAACGCCTGTCACATCAACAACATCATCAGTGACCTCAAATGGAGTCGGTGCCACAGCATCGCAGGAGTATGTGTCTTGTGATGCAAATTTTACTGCGGCTGCGTTTAATTGCCGGGAATCTCTTTCTCGCGGTAACAATAGTAGTGGAAAATCTTCTCAAAACAACTTGCGAGTCAATAACTGCAGTGCAGCATACGGAAATGCAATCAGTAATAGCGCAGTTATGGCCGTATCAACCGCTGGGTCTGTAGCTTCAAGTATAAATAGCAGCGCCCACTGCAACAGTTCTAATGGATCTGGAAACTATATAAATGTAATGTCAGTTCCAATGGGAACATTACAATATCATCGAAGAAAATTAACACCACAAGAATATCAGTGAGTATATGAAAATATATATGTATATTTAGTAAACATTTTTATAACACAACATTTTAGATCACGATTGTATCACAACACTGCCGATTACAGATGTCGAGATGATTTTTATTCGGGCAGCAATGGAACATCTGGAGTTGGAGGAGGAAATAGTGGTGTTACAGCTCGAATTAGTACTGCATCACCGTCACCCTCATTGCATTTACAGGGACAAGGGCAACAGAATCATCAACAACAGCAACATAATCATCAAACACAACATCAACAACATCATCACCACCATCATCAAATGTCTCAGCAACAACCATCCCAACATCACTACCATCATTATAATCAGCAACAAACAAATTCTGGGTCTACTATCCAACAACTTCAGCAGCAGCATCAACAAAATAATAATAGTTGCAGCCCCACTTCGGTCACAGAACCCGGTGACAATACATTGAATTGCAGTTTATCTTTAGGAAATGGACGTATGGTAGCGGCGACGCAAACGCATCTAAATAGCAGCTCTGACCAAGTGGGAGCGTCGTCATCATTGGCAATTAGCACACTGCCGTCTCAAGTACCACCAATAATGTACACAGTACATCGAGTGGTGACCACGGCACAAATACAAACAGCAGGTGGCAACACATTTACATCATCGTCTAGTGTCTCTAGCGTAGTTAGCGCAGTGCGAAATGAAACTGATAGTATGGGAAATGTTTTAACGCCGGTATCCACTTCGTCAAATGCAGGATGCTTTGTTGCCGGTGATATTACTGGTTGCACTGCTAGTATTGTTGCCGATGGAAATATGAACTCCAATGTCACGTCTGGTCAAACACATTTGCATTATTCACCAGGTATGTTCTAATAAAACAAAATATTTAAAATGGGTATTATGTGTAATATGTATTTTGTATGGCGAATCATGTCATTCGGTACGTAATTGGGGGTTGAATGACTAATGAGAGAGTGAATTACGAATAATTGCACCGTGTGAACGGGTATAAACGGGTATAAAACTAATTTAATAAAATTTGGTTCCTATCAAACAAAATAATATACTACATATGTAAATAAATTTTCCAATAGGCGTAGATTTAACAAAAAAGTATCAATCGTTATAGATCCTATAATAGAATACTTTTCGAAAGATTTTATCCTAATACCAATGTTTCATATAACACCAATAGGTATATTTGGATTGTCTTTACGCATGTGAATTTCCATTTCAATCGGACTAAACGTTTATAATATTTTTATATGTCCCATTGTACGACATTTAAGCGATTTGTTAAAAACAAATAAGGAGGTCTTATAAGTCTAGAGTAAGTCACAGAACAGGAAAGTCTTTATCGACTTAAATTGGGATACGTTAAAATGGTAGTTGGACTCATATCCCAATTGCATAATCTAATAATTTATCATTAAAAAGTTTATTAAAAAAGAGAATAAAAGGTTAATACATTAGCGAACATATATATTAATGTTTTTATACCCAACATCAAAAAAGATAGGGGTATATTGATTTTGTAATTCCGTTTGTAACACATCGGTCCTTATTAAACACATGGGTCCTTATTAAATTCTAAAACGATCTATCCATGTCCGTACGTCTGTCTGTCTGTTGAAAGCACGATAAAGTCCGAACGGAATGAGCTAGAGGGTTAAAATTTTCTACAAATATTTTTTATAGGTATTTTTTTGGTATTGAAAATGTACAATATCGGTCCACGTTTTTGGATAGCCCCCATACAAGTGAACTTCCGAAAAAAGGCTTTTAAGTTTCATATGAGCCAAAATCTCCCTACCAAATTTTATGAGGATTGGTCCATAATTGACCCTACCCCCCATATAAGGTCCCCTTCAGAAAATTACTATAGCGTTCATTTCTGGCTTAAAAATACAAATAAAGCGATGACATTTGACATAAGTTTTTTACAATCCAAAACCTCTCTACCACATTTTATGTAGATCGGACCATAATTGACCTACACCCATATAAGGTCCCCTTAGGAAAATTACTTTAACGCTCATTACTGCCTTCCCCTTCAGAAAATTACTTTAACGATCATTGTTGGCTGAAAAATACTATACGTATTTCTATGAAAATACGTGAAATTTGATATAAGTTTATAGAAACGTAAATCTTCCTACCGTATTCCATGTGGAAAGTGTCGTTAACTCACCCTACCCGCCCATATAAGCCCTTCACAAAATTACTTTAACGCTAAATAAAGCGATATATTTTATATGAACCAAAATCTAAACAATTTTATAATAAAAACAGTCAATAATTCACCCTACCCCTCATATAAGGACCTCTTCAGTTAATTTGATGATTAGGATTCAGAAAATTTCGAGTACAGCGATGAAAATAGACATAAAAAAGTTTATACTTAGAAATTTAATGACGATTAATTTATTACTGACCATAGCCTCTATATAAGTCTCCATTCAAGAAAGGGTTTTGCTTATTAAAATACGAGTTTTCCTTATTTTAAAATACGAGTATAGTGATGAAATTCGACATAAAAAAGTTCTGTACAAAATTGTATGTGTTCGGTTCATAATTGATACTACCCGCATATAAGGTCACCTTTCAGAAAATTACTATTACACTCATGACTGAATTAAAAAAACGAGTAGAGTGCTGAAATTCGAAACAAATAAGTTTTATACGAACCGATACCTTTCTATCAAATTTTACGACAATCGGTCCATAATTGACCCAATTATTGCCCAAATATGTATGTTTTTAAAAATAAATATTTTGTTAATTCTAAAGTGCTCGGTCTATAATTGACTTAAGTTATATTCTAAATGTCACCCTGATGTTTATAGGGGAGCATCCCTTTTACGGCATATGGTTTGATGGTGGGTATATGAGATTCGGCACAGCCGAATATAACACTATCACTTGTTTTAATTTGATGTTCGGTGTTGGAGATCCTGAATTTTTAATTCACAAAGCTCCTTTTGCTGGTCACAAAGTTCAATTTGCTTTTTTATTAGTATTAATGGGCTTTCCTTTAATTGTTTCTCAATGTTACCATAGTTTGAATTCATTACATGAAGTTTTTTTATTCATGTTTGTACGTAAATCCCTTCGGTAGTATTGTTGCCATTTCGAAGATGTTTTTTGAATACCCAAAGAAGTATTTTTATCCTTACTTTTACTAATCGTCCGATTCATCCAAAGTACCTATTTCTTCTTCGAGAATTACGTCATCCGGGATATTTTTATAATTTTTGGCAGAATCGCTGTCATAAATATTTGTCATTCCACTGATTCCTTCTTCAACTAATATAGAAGATATGAGTGCTTCTGAATCGTTCAGTTTATTGATCAAAAATGGCCCACCGCTTGTACCAAAAATAATTTTCTTGTTCTCAGCTTTTTTCTTTCGTAAAGTTTGCTTTAAATTGTGATACTTGTCATTTAATTATTTTGTTGTTCTTGTACCATTTCCCATGCTTCAGTGGGGAGGGTATATTGGGTTTGTGCTGATGTTTGTAACTCACAATAATATTGGTCCTATACCCACCTTAAAGTATACCATTATTTCACCTAGCCCCCATACAACTGAACCCCTGAATATGGCTTGTAAACCTTGTAATCAAAATACAATTAAACTTAAATGCATTGTTATGAAAATTAAATCACATGTTATTTTTGTAACAGTTGTAGGGTATTATATGGTCGGCCTCGCCTGACTATAATGTCTTACTTGTTTTTCCATTTTTTTTGTACAAAAATATAAATGACATTAAATTGAAATTTTTAATTGTAGAATTTCGGACAATCTTCCATGTGATTAATAAATCATAGGGGCCAATCCATATCAAAACGGACAGAAAATAACAATTTTCGGATTTACCATTTCCGATTCAATGAAATTTCCAACACATATTAAGGTTTGAAAGTGTTCCTCAAATCAATGAGTTTTTGATCGGAATCCCGTTCCAAACAAAAAATATCGCGCTTTGAAATTTTAAAAATATGTTAAAATTTTCTAAAAGTATATATGTACATATTAATGTCCATAACTTTGAAATTCCTTCATGTACAGGATAATTTTTGATTTCGTTTTAAAGCCAAAGATATTGTTTTTAAAATAGTCTAAATAGAATATTTTACTTCCAAAATGTTAAAGGTCAATTTTCATAGTGTATAATTCAATGTCAAATAGGTCAGACAGCCCCTAGTTAAAAATTATAAAAATACATGGTATGAGGATACCTAAACTCTCTTCTCCATTCATTTCGATGGAGACTCGTGTAGTTCAGGAGTTATTAACCAAAACGTAATTTAAGCAAATTTTTTATATAAAATCGTATGAAAAATTAAATAAACAGAAAAAAATACACAGAGGAATCAATTTCAATTTATATGGAAAATGCTATTTATCTCTTAAACTGCAGGGCCAATTTAAATAAAATTTAGAAGATAATTATTAAGGACGATTTAGCATTACTGAAAATTTACTTTGTTATAACCCTGTTAAAATACAAGGTGAGCTACGTGGTGTTAAATAAGAGTACTTCGATTACACCATACAACAAATTGGAAAAAATTGTTGCACACATAAGCAAGACCATATACGTTGGAAACAGCGTTGCCACTCACAATTTATTTTTCTTACCAAAGCTCCGACAAAAAACTACCAAAACGTCCTAAAAACTACCAAATTTGTTCTTTAGAGTTTTTGGACAATTGCTTCTGTTCATAATAAACATATTTTCCGTAAAAGGTGTTATATGGCTGTAGAAGAGTCAGAGATCGTAGAAAAAATTTATACTTACAAACGGAATCACAAAATCAATATACCCTTAATATTTTGTACCCATCAAAAAAGATTGTAGTATATTTAATTTGCGATTCCGTTTGTAAGGTAGTACCCCACCAAATTACATATTTATTCATCAATCTGGCTTCTTAGGGAAAAAAGGAATTAGTGTGGCCTCCAGTAGGTTAGTGGTTTTTGTTATAGTCTGTTAGACCTGAGGTCGTGCGTTCGATTCATATTGTGAACCTTCGGATTTGTTAACAAAATATGTTTCAAATTAACTTACTAACATTCATGAATCAGGAATGTTAAAATACATAGAAATTTAATATTTTCTTAGAACCATAGTGAAACAATATAAACCTAAGATTGACGTATTTTTTTTAATTCTTATTACTTTGCCATAACGAGTTCAGAAATTTTCATAAATGCATATGCATGAGTTTAAAATTATCTCATCACACCAAATTTGGACCAAAATTTAAATCTACCAACCAAACTACCAAAGGTCATTTTAGAGATTTGAAACTACCAATTTTGGCCCAATTGGACCAAAGTGGTAACGCTGGTTGGAAAGCACATACTTGATATAGTTATACTACATTTTCGGTTTTTTATTTTCTGATCGATTCTTCCTTTAAAAGGACTTTAAAGTTTGAAAGGAAGAGTAAGTAAAATTATTATTAGCTAAAATTTGGTTTGGTCTAGTACAGGGGTCGGCAAACTTTTGAGTCGGAAGAGCCAAAATTTAAAGTTTACAAAATATGGGTTTTAAAAGAGCCACAAAATGTTTGTTTATTAAAACATTACATATACGTTATGAATTCACTTCAAATACATATTTTTTGTTTAATTATCTGCAAGACAATTCTGCAAGGAATCTTTCTTATAGATTTTTGACTAAAAATACTTTTTGAATTTTTGTGGGTCATTCGAATGCGTTTTTTAACACTTGTTACTTAAAGATATAAAAGTTAATTAGAGTGGGGCGACAGTGATATCATTTAAAGGCATTTGCCATAATTCAGTATAAAGTGTCATAGTTATGTATATTAATTAGGCAGCAATCG